ATTACCAACTTAAAGTCTGTCTTTAACCAAATTAGCTTTCTTAATATTTGCATGTCAGCGGCGATAAATAAATGTACCTGAAAACATATTTTTATTTTCTTTCTGCAGAGAAAAGCTCAGGAGCGTCGGGTCGAAAGCCCCGAATGTCAGCTGTCGCCTGTTGCCGTGGGAAAGCTGCTGACCCCGCCCAGCAGCACAGAGAAGTCAGCCAATCCCTGAGTGGCATCCAGCAGCAGGACAAACTACCTCTTGATGACAATTCAACGTGACGCCGACTCCTGGGCGCCCTGCGGAGGAACGGGCGTCCAGAGACCAACGTTGTTTTAACACTAAGCTCTGACTTCTTGCAGCCGTAATGGAGACCAGACAAGGAACTGGTGATTACCATTCAATCTGGGATGAGCTATAATTCCTTTAATGAATTTATTTTCAAGTATTAAATGTGGTCTTTAGCAACAGCAGCTCGAGCGACAGGTTTTCATGTGACTTGAGTGAAAAAAGTCGCTGGAAGCTCACTGGTGCTCTGAGAACCGATGCTTTCTGATGGTGCTTTCAGGTGATCTCAGGAAATCGGGAAATACCATCTTTGTTTTTTACTAAAACAGTCATTCCATTTTAAGATGGTGCTAATATGTAGCTCACCCTTTAATCCCAACATGGCCGCCTGAAAATAAATCTCTTTATGGAAGATTATTAAAAACAGAACAAATGGCTTGATCTATGAGGAAATGATTCGTTTTATTTTGCGCCTGACTTTTTTTATTTTTTTATTACTATTGTAAACTGTTGCAACTTTTTGTTACGTTCCTGGGAAACTTGACATTTGTGCAAATTTTGCTTTTCATTTCTAGTGCTTGTATTTATTGATGAGCCTTAAAGAGAAACAAATCTGTTCATATGTAAAATCTCATAGTGATGAGCGGATCAACTGCTGCCAAAGGCAAAAATGGTATTTATGCTCCACAACATCTGTTCGTTTTAGGTTCAGCATTAAATGTTGTACATGAGGATGTCTTCAGTGCCTTTTTTCATATAAGGGGGAGAAAAAAATATGTACATGAACTTTAATTTAAGATGGAGCGAGCTGAAAAGGTAGAAAAAAACCAACTGTGACTGTAAACCTCCGCAGTGAAGACATTGACCATGTGAACTGTGCATAAATGTTGAATGTATGTTTTTGTAAATAGTGCAATTCAGATGTGTAATTTTCTTTTATATTGTTTTAAATAAATGATTAAATTCATACTGATCTTTAGTCCTTGAAGATTTTATTTTTTTTTTGCTGCACAGCAAGAGCAGAACTGGAAGAGATTTTTGATCTGAAGACCAAATGATTTGAAAAATAAGATGAGCTCTAATGGGATCGGTTCTAATTTAGGACAAATTTTAGTAGTTTTACAAGTTTTTTTTTTTTAAGTATTAAGTATCGCTATGAGTGAAAATTCTCGCTGCTTTACCAGCTAGGAACAACTTGATGAAAAGCTTCTTAAACAAAAATGTACCAAATTATGTCAGAAGTGCACCCCCTAGAGGTTCCCAATATAATTGCAAGGGGGTACATTTAATTAAATAAATAACACATTTTAAGTTTTATTTATTATTGGTCCCAATGTTACTTGGAATTAATATAATTACTTTAAAAGGTGGCAGGTTTGTACGGAAGAGGATTAGGGCCACAAAATTTTTTTTGAAGTTGTATAATATGACAAAAGTCAGAATTCTGACTTTAATCTTTTTTTCCATTCTTCCAGCAGCTATTTTTTCCGTATTCTTTTCTGGAATCCGCTTAAGTACCTCTTTTTGGTATCCTTAGTTGCTAACACATTGTATGTAACGGTTATGGTTCTAATCTACGCCCTGGATTACCCATAATTCCAAGTCGTAGTGTAAAAAAACTAAAATACTCAAATACATTGTTCTTTTAATATCTTTATTGCAGTTTGAAACATATGATTGTATTATTTACCAAGCGTCTAATGAACTATACACAGTTATAAACATAGTAATTAAAAGTACCACTGTCTGCTTCGCTATTGGTGTCGTGTTTAAACGTCTCACCATCATGTTGAAATCTGGCATGTTTTCCAGTATAAATACGGTCCGGTGCGGTCAGTCACTGCAGTATCTGGTGGGTTTTAGAGGAGTTTTTCGCACCATTACATCTGCAAAGAGACGTCCTGGTCTACAATTGCGTAGGGGGCCTACCAGGTGTCAGTGATGGGGCCACTAAGAGGTTGTGGGCCCAATATTTATGCCATTGAGTTGAATGTTGTAATACATCGGGTACAAGTTGGAAAAAAGTTCTTTCATTTTTCCAATTCATGATCCTCCAAGTGTTCTTGGGTTGCCAATGGAGCATTTGCTCTTCTGTCCAGAGAAAAAACACGTCATTAATTCATTACTCTGCTTTGCATAGTGCGCTGGTCGTCACTATCGTGGATAATAGCGCGTTGTGACAAACACCAGATACAGCACTGAGACTTGATCAACAGCCGATACCGCGCAGTGACGTCTCAAACCAGTAGGTGGCAGTAGTGTTCTTTGACAAACACGGATATCTCCAGTAAAGCACATTCAAATGAAAATTACTCTTAATTAAAAACACTTAACATGTTTTGAAAAGCATATAATATTTTCATACTTAAAGTACTTTCAGAAGTTTGTATTCTGAATGTGAGCGGACTTTTCCTTCAAATCGCTAGCAGCGTTAAACCTTCCTGTTAGCTCTTAAATACGGAGCACTCACTGGCTGGAAAGGGATTTGGTTACGTTTTAGTTTCTGATCAGCTGATTTCAGTTAACAGATGCTTCCTTTCAGTGCATTTCATCAACAGCCGATACCGCACAGTGACGTCACAAACCTGTAGGTGGCAGTAGTGTTCTTTGACAAACATGGACGTTTTCCAGTAAAGCACATTCAAATGAAATTACTCCTAACTAATTATCTTAATTATCATTTATTGAACATTTTGTAATAATTTCATATTTAAACTACTTTAAGAAGTTTGAATTATTTTCCTTTAAGGCAGCTCCTTGTTTCCTGTTTTCCATTACTGGATTAACTGAATGATGCAGGTGTGACCGTGTGTGAATGGTTGTATGTTTTGCCCTGGGATGGAGCAATGAACTGTCCAGGATGTTTCTGCTTTTCACCCACAGACTGCTGGAGAGGCTCCGCCCCCCCATGACCCTGATGGATGGGCAACAGAATACAGATGCTTAGTCCTCATTTAGCCACATCATACAACAATAATAATTGATCTTTATTGATCTCACATTGGAGAAATTTACCTCTGCATTTAACCCATCCCTTTGGGGAGCAGTGGGCTGCCATTGTGCGGCACCCAGGGAGAAGTGTGGGGTTGAGGGTCTTGCTCAGGGACCTAGAGTTGCAGTCTGTGGGGATCGAACCGGGTACTTGCAACCTTCTCACAGTACAAACGCACTGCTCTAGTTTGAGACAAGTTCAAGGTGCTCAGTTCTGTTTTGTTACTAAACTGAAGTAGCAAGAAAAGAACGACAACATCTTTTAGACTGGATTGTAGAAGAAACTAAATTTAAATAATTTTTATAAACAGTTTAAAACATTAAAGGAATAGTACACCCAAAACATGATTAGCCTTCATTTTCTACTCACCCCCATGCTGAACAACACTCTGGAGTACTTTTTTGA